AGTGTTTTGCATACGAAAACTTAACCTCATCCCCAACTGTGCCAAAGTAGAAGTAAAGATGAGGTCGAAACCAAAAAGAGCTAACGTCATTTTCCATTACGTCATCCCTCAAAATTTCGAACACCTTCAATTTAGGGAAAATCGAGTTATATTTCTCCCGTGGGGGCATCTTGGGGTGACATTTGGCACGCCGGAGATGCAAACGTGTTCCAGCTGTGGAGCGAGGAGAGGTAAAAGTTTGAACGTTTCGACGTGATGTTTCAAAAGAAGATTGAATTCGAGCCGGGTCACGTGTGCAAAACTGTTTTTCAGCGGTAAATCGAATTTGAAAAGTGGGATGACGGATTCAAATAGTAACGGCGATGTGTCAAGGGTTCTTTGCAACGAGATTGATTCGAGTTGGGGTAAATTGATATTGTTTGCTTGAAGCAGCCAGAGAGGCAGGTCGGTCATGCTGAGGTGACGCACGTGGCAGAAAACTTTTAAAATTCTAGTGACCAGGGCGAAAACCTGGTCCCATTTCCCGTTTGAAGCGGGGAAGATTAGGGTCGTATTAACCGCTAAAGTTGTAAGGTTTGCCGGGTAGGGGGTATTCTCGGGGAATATGTCTTCCCAGTGGGGAAAAGAGGGATCCATTCCGTGCCAAGAGCAGAAGTGTGGGTACAATTCTAACGATCGTAAAGTTTTGAGTGTTTGGATAATTTTGAGCAAACGAGACGCCATGTGGCGTAAAGTGGTACGGATGGGGACTTCAATGCTTAATTTGGTAACGGTGTTTAAATTGAGGGAGGTAAGTAGTTCTAGTTTTGGGAGTGCATTATTCTCCAAATTATTGGACTCAAAGGTGACAATTTTCAGGTGTGTGGGGGATAAGTTGGATAGAGTGACGAGATCAATGGAATCGTTGACGTTGGAGTTTAGCTGGATATTGATAGGATTTTTGGCGATGAGGTATTTCAGGGCTTCCATTTGCCACGTGGTGTTGACCTGAGAGGCAGATTCTAAGTCGGTGGTGGGGAGGAAACCCATAATTTTGGAGATTATCTGAAAAAGAGGGGATTTTAAGGTATGAATTATTGGAACAGGCAAAATAATTATATATGTAAAAGTTACTATATATATGTACATATATGGTTATAGCTATGTTATATATTATGTTATATACCTATTATGTAACTAGTTATATATAGATATAACTATGTATTTTATTACATAGTTATGTATATCTGTTTGTGTCATAGGTTTAAAACTAGTCTTGTAAACTGATAACTATTAACATGTGAATAAAGGTCTAAATCATTTACTAAAAATTAGCAAATCAAATAAGCAATTGCATACCTCAGGCAGATGTGAAATTAAATGACACGCTGGGCTATAATTCTCCATTTCGGGAGTTTGGTGAGACACTGTAAAGTAAGTACATATATACGAGCAGTTTAAAAAATTGCAAAAGAATGTAAATAAATTTAAAGTTTTAAACGTTTTTTACCTTGTTTTAAGCAAAGTAGAGAAGTTAATTCAATTCATTGATCACTCTATGCATGGAATGGGGAGCTGGTGTCATTTTCCTCCTCAATTGGGAGAAAAATAAAACTGGTTGCCGTGTTAAGACTCAAGCGTTCATACGAACGAGATTTGAGGGATATTGGGATTAGACTAAAAGGGTTGACCGTTAACAATGGCTTTGAAGCCCTGGCAAACCTTTTCGTCTATATGCACATACATACAAATCCTTTTTTCCAAGTGTAGTATTGATGATCCGACAATATGCTTACATATATATGTACAATGGGGACCCTGCTTTGGTTCATTCTTACAGACATACATATTTATAGATATCTACAATACAGATGCGTATTGTGTACATATACACATACACAACATAATATCTGTATTTTAATATGATTCAAAACAGACTTTCTCTTTTGAGAATTACCAAGGATGTACCACTTATGTAATATGAGAAATTTTCAAACCTTCGGGCGAAAAAACTGGCACAACTTGAATAAACACGGCTTACATTGTTCAATAGACAAACCAATTAGTTAAGACTGATTTTTTTTCTACTCAAAATTCTGAGAAATTCTCCCTCCTTGATCATTTTAAATGTTGGAGGTACTACTGAAAGTTTTCCGGCTTCACCGGAAGTGTGATAAAAAAAGGCTTAAGGTACATACATGGCATAAAAATTTTTTGGCGCAAGTTTGGCCTCAATTTATAACATAATTTGCTTCAATTTATAGCAAATATAGAAGGTGTTAGATGACAAACCACTAATCAGGGACTGTTTCCTCCCCCCCAAAAATGTCCGCTTGCAGAACGGACGAAAAAGCTAACAAGACGAAGCTCCGTCGTTTGATCAATAATGAAACCCCAAAGAGCATTCGCAGTATGACGAAACTACTAAAATCGAATCCCACAAGTCATTAGTAGAGATTTGGACAAAATCAAAGTTCCAACGCTAAAAGCCGTGCGAGCACCGCCTTGCCGCAGGTAGGGACGAATATGTGGTCACAATCGACGAAGCTTTGTTCAGGGTATTTAGATGACTGTAATCGAGGTAGGTCAATTTTCTGTGCGTCGTAGAGAAATTTTACAAATTTGCTACAGCTTTAGATGGACTTTGGAAAGTCTTAAGGACGAGTGGTTAAAAATAGGCAGGCCTTCAAAACAGAGCTCCACGCCGTTGAAAAATCGGCGGCGGCGGCGTGAGTAGTGAAAACCGTCGGCGGCGGCGGCGTGAGTAGTGAAAACCGTCGGCGGCGGCGGCGGCGCGCCGTTTGGGAGCTCGGCGGCGGCGCGCCGATATTTCTGCCTCAGTTTACCAGTCAGTGATCATAACTGACCTCTTTATTTAGCTTTCTAATACATAGTAATGTATTTCGCGTGCTAATTTTAATTGGTTCAGCGAAAAAAATAAGCCGACCCATTTTTTAATTCGTGTTAATTCGAGTTTTCTGCATTACAGAATTTCAAAAATATTTCTCGACTAAACCCATCAGCCTTAATAGCCATGTAACTCGATTCTTGACGGAAATTCGAAAATTTAAAAGTTTGCTTGATTTTTCATAAAATGGAATGTTTTAAATCTTTGTAATTGTAAGTTTTAAAAAACAACAGGACTAAGCAAAATTTAAGATTCTCAAAAAACAGCAATTTTTGCAAAGTCAGGCTATTTATGTACTCAATTTGTATTGCCCAAAATATCATATTTTAAATATACGTTATCTATTCTTTAAGTGGCGTCAAAATTTGAACTGATCTCTAATTAAAAATGCGTATCGGGAAAAAACTATTCATTTTCTCAATGTCAATCACATGCACAATCACGAAACCGTTAAAACCCAAAGTTCGACATTTTTTCTCGTTTTAACTGGTTTTAATTGTACGAAATGCCTTTTTTCTCGGCGGCGCGCCGGCACTTATGCGGCGGCGGCGCGCCGATGAATTTCCTCGGCGGCGGCGGCGTGTTAAATCGGGTCGGCGTCGGCGGCGCGCCGGCGAAAAATCGGCGGCGTGGAGCTCTGCTTCAAAAGTGTCACCCAACCGAATTTTCAGCTTTTTCGGACGTTCAAACGTTCAACAATGGGTAGTTTTTCGAAGCTGATAATGATGTTAGAGTATTGGATTGAATTTGAATATGTCTATCATGCATTATTTTCAGGGTTGGCCAAGATAATTTAACAAGATACAAGATATCAGATAAAAGATACAAGATATATCTTGTATCTTGTGTAACGGAGTTTATCTTATCTTTTATCTTGTATCTGAACGTTTCTCAAAAGTACTTGGTATCTTGTATCTTGTATCTGGAGAATTTATTTCGATCATATTTTATTTGAAATACTAGTCAAGATACAAGATGGTTTTTTAGTGAAAAACCGGGAAACTTGCATATTTGGTAGTATTAAAACTTGGAATTATGAAGATTTAAAAACCTCAGTGTACAGCTTTGCCGAGCCGGATGCAAGGTTCTGTTGTATAACGTCGTAATATTTATTTATCCACAGTAAATGAACCCTCGCACGTTGGAAAATTTTGTAATTTGCATTATATTCCTAATTTGTACCACCATTAGAGCAATTATTCCAAATTTCAACTGAATATACTGGTAATAGTAATTTCAGTTCCATAGAATAATTTAAAAAAAATCAGTATGGGTCACCACAGATGAAATTCTCATATTTGTTTATAAATTGTAAACAGGGACTTGCATTATAAATTACAATGCAAGTTATGAGTCTATACTATCATTATTAACAAGTTACTCGGCTACAGCTACAAAGCTACAATACAAAAAATCAAGTGGTGCTTCGTCCTTTCATTTTTTTTGCAAACTTCGAATAATTTATCTTGTATCGTGAAAAAATTATTTCAAATAAATATCTTGTATCTTGTATCTGGGATCACAGCAGATAAAATCTATCTCGTATCTTGTATCTTGTGTAACTCTAATTATTTGTATTTAGTATCTTGTATCTTAAGGTTTCGTTCAAATATTTTGTATCTTGTATCTTGTATCTTTGAAACAAAGTATCTTGGCCAACCCTGAATTTTATAATTTTATTGTAAATTTATTTCATGGAAATTTAATTTAAACTTTGTTTTATAACGATTCCCGTATAAAATCGACTGGAAAAGCCTTTCACTAGTACCTCAGCTTCACGCGAGGGCAGTGGTCGCACTTTTTAAAATAAGTTTGCAAAAAAATTAGAAAACTATTTTTTTGATTTGCTCTACCCGAATTTGGGTTCAAGTTTGAATTTTATTTATCTACCAGTGAGCACGGGTGTCTCAAATCTTCACACGAAAAAATGGGATACCCTGTAAACATGTACAGTATTTAACTTCCTTATGGATAATGAAGTTGTCTCAAAAATATCTCACGGCAAAAATACGCCGCAAAAACACTGATGAAATGTCGATACCGATCAGTTTTGCGACGACCAGGGATACCACACCAAAGACAGTGATCGAACTTGATGGCAACCGTGGGCCCCTTTAAATTACTTTTCATTGATTACCATGAAAAATGATGGGCCCCCCATTCGATAAGATATTAATTATTTTTTTTGGTTGTGTGGTAACAAAATATGCAAGTCGGGAATATTAGGTGAGAGAGTAATAAGTACATATTTGCAGCTATTGGAAGTGAGATACTGGACAAAGTCGATGTTAATTTAATTTGTAACTATTTTTGGAATTTTTAACATCGTGTTTATAATTTTATACAATATAATTTGTACATATAACAAAGTAACTGGTATACATATATTCACGAAAATGCATAAATCACAGGAACATTGTAACTGTTGAACCTTGAAACCTGAAAAAATAATATGCAATATTAATATTAATTTTAATCGCCTAGCATGCATTTACAAGTACGGTTGGGATTGCTAACTACGAAATCAATCGTAGTACCCATGTGCCTTCCCAAATTATTCCGTACTTTGTAAATGTTCTAAAATTGTGAATCATTACCAGATGTGAAGAAATGTATATGCATAACCTGACTGTCTTAATCGTAATCCTCCTCCCATTAAGATTCTCCAGCATTGATAATTTCCAGTTTTCTTTTCCGAACTTTAAGTATTGTTGGGTTTTGGTACCTTTGATAACCCAAATACCACAACACCTTTAATAATACAATAAAAAATAGCATTTATTTATATTTTATAAAGTTGAGTTTTTTTATATAGAATAGTTTTAGCTTACCGTGCAAATATGTGCACAGCAACCCATAGTCCGAGCGCCTTGTTTACATTTGCAGTAAAAACCTTTTATGGCGTCAGCACCTTGAACTTCTAAAGAATATTCGATCCATAGGTCGTGGGCTTTATTTGCTGTAAATCTTGATTCTATCTTGGCTCGGACAATGTTGGTAAACTCGGAATTCAGTTTAATTTCAAACTTTTCAGAGTTGGACATGTGCAAATGAGCATAACGCTTGGCTAATCCAATTTGATAGACTCCAAGTGTAATGTCTTCTAAGTCTTCAACAGAAAGCTTGGGAAATTTTTTAAATTCTTCCAACGAGGCTGTCTTCCACTGCTTGGTCCGGCGATCCATTTTTTCGTCCTCCACTCGTTTTTGTAGAGCATTCTCCTGGTCGACGAGTTCCAGTGCTCTTTCGGCTATTTTATCATGTTTGGGCGAGTGGGTGGACAGAGGAGGGTAGAAACAATTAATGAGGGCGCAGCCAATTCTGAACAACATGGGCAGCTTCTCAAGGTATCCTGTAATTAATCGCACAGTGTAATAACTTTAAAACTTGCATCATCATTCCATCATATTGACATAAGTACATATGAATTATACGTATACTTACCTCCTGGAACTGTCTCTCGAAATAATTTGAACTTTTTCTTGATTCTTCCATTTACTGCCTCCACTAACCACCTAACCAACGTGACCCGTCTTGACTCATTTCCTTGCGAGGTGGTGAATTGTTTGTCATCGGTGTCTAGTAGCTCCGGCATATGTGTCAGGTGTCCAAGGCGAAGCAGAGTCTGAATCACGTCTCTGAATCCCCTGTCCAGAATGTGGTGATCACCGGGTTTCAAGTACGGAGAATCAGGTGGCAGCTCTGACAGGATGGACTTTAGGATCCCAGCATCATTATTAGCACCTGCAATTAATAATTTCGGATTATTTGGCAAATATGTAACTTGAAATAGATTATGCGTTTTGTTCTATTTTTTTGATTTGCTACTAAAATACACTTACCATTAGCATAATAAGGACCACACGCAGTCAAGATATACCCCGACGGAAGAACTATCATGAATGGTTTAATCAAGTTGCGCTTCTTCTGGCCAGAATAAGTGAGTTTCTGTAGTTGAAAATCGGCTGGTTTCTCAATGTAAATGTAGGTTCCATCCATGATGAGAAACAGCTTGGTGGGGTCCTCTTCTTTGAATAATTTAGAATATATTGGTCGCGAGTGGTCACGAAGTGCTGCTTCACGAGATAAGTGTTCAAATCCCAGGTACTTCTTAACGAAATGGTTGTCCAGAGCTGTTGCAACTGCTTCAATGGTCTCACTCACACATGACTGATTGGGAATTCCAAAAAGACTGCTCAGGACTTTCTGCATACAAGGGTATATCAACATTTAGTACTAATTCTAGTGAATATTGCGGTAAGAATGAATGTTATATATTAATACCTGAGACAAATTGTGTCGAAGCAGCATAAGGAAGATGGCCAACGCATTTCGGACACTTCTGTTGACACTGTTGTGTACATGACCTGATATTTCTGTCAGCAGCGAGTTGAATTGGATTTTTGAGAATCCGACAAGGTTTTGGTAGTCGTCTTTCTGCACATCAGTTTGATCGTCAAAGTTGTAATGACGTCTTCTGGCACCTATCCTGTTTTGTTGCTGGTAAGATCCAGAATCCACCGTGCTAGCTCTTCATCCGACATTAAGACACCATGTTTAGTTGGAATGATCAATTCCATCGCCTCATCTGTGAAAAGTTGTCTCTCAAGGTGCACAGCGCAGCAACGATTGTCGTGGGGGATATAGATTTCCTTGTCTGTCCAAACTTGAGTAATTGCGCACTTTGGAATTCTTTTTCTGCCGTTGGGGTCATGACATATGAAACACCGTTTCTGCGTAGATTCAACAGAGTCGATCTTTGGTAGACGCCGTGATTTACTTGATTTAGAGCTGGACGTTGATACTTGAGAGTCTCGGGCAAGAGAAGACAGGATTGACACTTGAGACTGTGTTCCTGCAGTGGTCATCGTGATCGTTGTTCCCTGAGTGCTCCATTCTGACTCGACTTCACTTCTGCTACTTATTGAAATAGGCATTGAGAAGTCATCTTGTCCACCTGGTAGATGAGAAGGTTATTGTTATTAGTATTGTTATTGTATTCGTGTTGAGTGAACGAAGTGCCCTCACTATTTAACCGGAAGTCGTCTAACTCCATGTCTAATAGTCCATACTCAAACCGGTCGATGTCTTGTTGAGCATCGTCGTCGCCGCCGAGAGAATAGTCGTCGTCACCACCAAGAAAATCCTCTTCACCGCCACGATGATCTTCCTCCTCACCGCCAGGAGAATTATTTTCTTTAGCGCCGCGAGTAGTGTCTTCCTCACCGCAACAAGATTCGCCTTCATCTCCTCGACGAGATTCATCTTCATCACCGTCACGAGCACCATCTTCCTCCGCGTTTTCGTCTTCTGTGGTCAGATTTGCCCTTCGTTTTGCCCTCGTCTGCTCAAGAAAAGTTGGTGTGAGAATTGGAGTAATTGGTGTTCTCCGGACGAAATTCTTTAAACCAGGAGCTTTTAGTTGACCTCGAATCTAAAATGATAATTACTTATTAAATAAATGCCAATTTATACGAATAGAAACTTACCTTCATGTAGCATCCTTGGCAAATGACCTCATTTTTATCACTGTCGTTTGACTTTCCATCCACGTAATTCTGATAAAGTGGCCACAAAGAATTTTGCCCTAATCGACTCCTTTTCTGAGTGGTGGTAATGTGACTATTACAATTTTTCATGAAACACTTTATATTGGGCATTTTGAAGCACTTCGTGATGTGATGCGGTAAGGCGATGTGCACAAGAATGATGTTTTTAACTCTGTTTTTTTTTGCAAAGTAAAAACTCAACACAAATATATGCAGCCATTAGCAACAAAACGTACATGAAATCAGTAAAAAAAATATTGAATATGAGAAATGCATGCAAAAGTATGTGCGGTTGTGGTCAAAAATCATGGTATCGTAATTGCGCCGGTTTTTTAATTTTTGTCTCTTCCCACTCTTCAACACATTTGCAATTAAATAAAAATAGGCTCCAAAAACCGGCGCAATTACGATAGCATTTTATTCGGCCCCAAAGTTGAGCATAATTACCATCAAATTCGATCACTGTCTTTGTGTGGAGCACTTTAGGTGGAATAACTTTGTCACAGAGTTTTTTCAAGTACCAATATGATTTTATTTGTTAAGAAAATGGGTTTATACATATAAATGTGAATATGGGCTTTGGAGTTATCGTTTGTATAATTTACATACAAAGATCGTCAGATTTTGCCAATATAATTATTTACTTCACTGTTTTTTGCCACTATTATTCCTGGTTTTAATGTCCTCGATTTCTTTGTCAAGTTCATTTTGTTTATTGCAATAATATTTTTCACTCAAGTCCAGTTGCTCGACCAATCTCAAGTTCTTTTTAATTAGCTCAGTTAAGAATTCTTTCATGTACTCAGACAAATTTTGATCATTCTTTATCTTTTGCATTTTTTCGGCGAAATACTCTCTGAATTTCTGTTTGATTGGTCCGTATTTCTTTTGCATTATTTTTTGTGCAAAGGCTACCTGACTAATGATATCACTCTCCTCATAAGCAGTAGTCGGGGCCCACCAACCTTTCATCACTCCAATGGCATTATAATTATGTTCATTTAGCAATAGTGACCCTTCCCTGATTTCGCCATTGGATTTTGTCCAATATTGCCGCGCTGAATTACTAAAGTGTTCAATTCCAGCCAAGAGTGAGGCGCCTTTTACGGCACAGACGCTAAGTAATTGTTCATCGGGTAAACCATTTGGAACAACAGCATTAAGTTTGGTTCTGAAAGTATCGTTAACCACGTCTCTTGTTTCGGAAACTAAAATTACTTTGAATTTATTTGGAAGAAGATATATAACTGATTTTAACATAGTAATAAAATCGTTATAAATATAATCCAACATGTAATCAAAAACCCTTTTATGTCCTCAGTCAGACTTTTTGGAGCTCTGAAACCCTTGTCTATAAATTTTTCCACCTGAGCTAGAAAAACTTGCCATTTCGAAAGAGCTCTTTCTTAGAACAATTACTACGAGGGAATGTAAAATATTAGACAAGTGAGATATGCCCACACGACCAAAGTATTGAATTGCAACCGCATCAGATTCAGAAATTACTGAAATTTTGAAATTAAGTAGGGTCGAAAATCTTGAAATACCTGAATAACTTTCACAATCAATAAAGGAAGGAATAACGAGAACACAGTTGGAAACTTTCCTGGACAAATTTGTTTCCGCGTATCGTTTTAACGTAAGAAGCATAATTAATATAATAGAACACTCAGTTAGTTTCATATTTTCAGGCCAAAGTTGCAGGGAAACATTGTTGTTAACAAAGACATGACCAGCATTTACACAATTCTGTTGGTGACGTCCTATCTTAAATTCATTTCCGGCATATGATAATATATTATCCACATTATCTAACAATTTAACAGTTGCGTTTTTGTTATCATCCCAGTAACTCATGGAAAGCTTATCTATGCCGAAATGTACCCTAATGGATACTGTTTCAACAGTTAAATCTTTTTGTACAGAAAAAAGCGTCCTCTTATCAGTCATTCGCGGTCGTGGCGCTACTGACGGAGTCACAAAAGTTAAGCTTGACCTCGTAGGGGCTAAGTTGGTTTTAAATTTTGAAATTGCCTTATCCCCTATTATGGCTAACTCAGAGACTAATTTTTGCTCGAATTGAGCATAAAGTGTAGATCCGCTAAATTCTTTTCTGAAATTCTTAACGACTTTAGCAATGCTTTGCTTATGAGCTCCTTCTAACAAACCTAACGTCAAGGCGGAACTTGCTTCTTTCTCAATTTCTGAATTATACTCCTTCAAGTACTTTTCCATCGCAGATAATAAAATTATTTTGTCGTCATCTTCTTTATTAACCTCGACAAGACCAGAGCCATCATTTTCTTCCTCTTTACGCAAATTGTGCTCAGGTTTTATAAGTGTTTGACAATTTGAATTTGCAACAATATCTCGATGTTTCGCCATTTTTTCTATAATATTTTCTCCTTTCATGGATGCACCATTGTGGAAATATTTTATGCTGATGGAGGAGTCAAATATTGACGATAAAAAATTTTGTAATAAATTCTTCCTGAGAACCTCGTTTCCAAGTTGTGGCGCGGGGACCTTGTGACAATTGAAGACGTTAAATAGGTCAAGTATCTTTGACATTGGGTCATCATTGATTCTACTCTTTGAAAAATCTAGAAGTGAGTGGGGCGAGTTGTTTCCTTTTTGTCGGGTCGATTTTACTTTGTGGATAAGAAGGTTAATTTGTTTATAATGGTCGAATTGCTCCGATCGAAGTCCTTGAGCCAGAAGGGGGACGAAGTTTCTTATATAATCCATCTGTTTTTTAATTAAATATTTAGTTAAATAGAAATTCGAAATAATGATCATTTCCCCTAAGCTCGAAATAATATTGAGACAAATCGTCACTTGCGGAGGTATAATAAAATGCTACATTTTTTGGTAACGATTAAGGACACATTTTATCACTGACGGGAAACAACTCAAAAACATGCGAAATTGTCGTTATTTAAATAATTTAACATTGTATATCCAATTTTTAAAATACCGCGTTTTTTGGTACATGGAATCTAGACCTATGTATCTATATCCCGTTACAAAACGTGTCCTTAATCATTACCCAAAAATTGCGCACTTTATCATAGTATCGGTGTCGATTTATTCCTAAGTATTTAGAGCTTAATATACGTGCATAGCTTTACTTATGTATGTACCTTTAAGTCCTCATCGATCATGACAACTACTGACGACGACATCACCAGCGATAGTCCAGCTAGGGCGATGTAATTCGGATCTTTCATTCCATCCTGGAATGTTCCAATTATATCCAAAATGTATACCCGAATTCGGGACGAAGAACCTTTTTTCACCCAGAGTTCGCCCGACCAGGCGACCAGCATTGGATCAGTTTTGTTTGATTTAAATTCACTCAAGTCATTGTCGAATTGTTCATAAAACTCAAGCTGCGTTTCTTGTCCGTCGTCTCGAAGGTGTGATAACATTTCCCGCATAAGAAGAGAGTCTTCATTCCCATTGTTAGGGTCCAGGATTAATCCGACGATAGAAAGGCTAGGAGTGGATGAGTTATTCTGAACGCCAAAAAGTTGTTGGCAGAGGGCAACGTTTATGCTGAGAATTCCATTTTTACTACTTGTGGCTAGACATAGGAAATTGCCTGGCTGTTGGTTATTCGATTCCACTTCCATCTGCATAATTAGTAGTTAGTAAAGTTGTTGGCTTAAAATTATTTATATGATTGCTAGATGTATTTAGCTGGGCACGTACCAACATAATTAATTAGTTGGTGACGTGTAAATTCAGTAAATGTATTTGTTGCTTGCAATCCTTAAAATCGAGGAAGTGAGTGCAGTGTGTTACAAAGGATGGAGATGAAGATGCGCAATTTAATGAATGTTCTCTGACAATGAATGTATATAGGCTGATTTTTATTTCAAGGTATGAAGGTGAGAATGGACAGGAAAATTCAAGTGGTAATGCCTGCATACATTTGTATGTACGTATTAATGTATGTATTTATCCTCCACGTCAGCACCTATTATTGTAACTTAAATTATATGCCAAATATGTACGTATGTAATTTGTAGAGAAGTGGTTTATCATACCATATTAGAAACAAGATGAGATCAAAACGCAGGATAAGAGAGTTCAGATAAAGTTTGAATTTAGAGTTTACATGGTCAATGTTATTTATATATTTGCAAAACACTACCTCAATTTGTTATAAGTGGACGGTATTTGTAAATTTTTCCGAATGCGCACGGGTTTATCAACCAACCGTACGCATGTTCATATTTATTACTAAGAAAGACTGGACATTTTTATAGCATTTTTTTACCCATAAATTCACAAAGAAAATTTTAACAAATTCCCAACCATCAATATCATAGAATATCGGTATTCTTTGTTTGATGTGAATTTCCCAACCGTAAGGATTTTATATAGAGCTGGGCCCTGCATAAAGCATGTCCCATTATGCAGAATTTCGACCCTTGTTCTCCACATTGTCCATGTCATAGTTTTTAAGGTTCCCATGGATGACGCGTTGGCGCGTAATCTCACTCTGCCCCTATCCAATGTATTCAAATGTAATTTCTAAAATCGCATCAAGTTCATGAGTGTTGAGATAAATGGGACTTTTGATATTTTAATGTAAAGCTAATTTTTGGTACTACAAAACCTTGGTGTTTTCAAAAATTAGAAAATTCATTTGCTATTTTTGCACACTAATTTTTTTCAAAAATGACTTTTCTAATTTTTCAAAACACCTAGGTTTTGTAGTACCAAAAATTGATACTACATTGGTAATCTCGTTGGTCCAGGCTCCCAACTTGGGAGCCTGGTGAAAATATTCGAATCTGTTCTCGACACTTTCCTAGCACTTGCAAACAATTCCTCGGTAATCGTGGAAAAATGGTTGGTTCTCCGGTGCCGTCTTTATTCCAACGAAGAGACGAAGTCGTTCAGAAGATGGACCTTGTCCAACGTAAGAAAGAATAAAAAACGTAAATGCAACTGGTCAATTAAAGGCGTCAACATTTTTGAGTTTAGGTTTGCGCAGATATAATTTTCAGGGGTCGATTCACTTGAAAATCTTGCCTGCGTCCGTGCGATGTCAGTTTTTAAACCAATTTTTTTGTTGTTTATTGTGTATGTACCTTTTTGAGTTTTTGCAGCAAAAACTCAAACTGGGAGAAACAATTTTGCTCCCAGCTTTTTTAAGAAAAAATTATCCCCAATTTCTTTGAGAATGGATTATGTGCAGTCAATTTTTTTTAGGAAATCCAGTTTTTCGTCAAATCGCAATAACACAAAGTTAATTAACCGGTAAAAAACCGTCCATTAATTATGTCATGGAAGAGGCGGGGTCCAACCAAGGGTACAGTATGGCAGTATTAGTGCCTATGTGACACATGTTAAAGGGGGGTCTAGAAATTCGCGACTTTTTGCGTGCCATAATTTATGGATGTCCCCTAGAAAGACAAGGCACGAAATCTTGAGCTATCAAAAGATATTCAGGATATGTCATCGACATCAGGTCCCATCGAGCCACCTGAAGTCAACTGTGTCACAGAATGTCACCCTCTGGAATCGAGATCGTCTTCAAATTCACTCGTGTATGTGGACGAGAAACCAGCGTCCATCAAATCTACCCCAAATTCTAATCAGCATAACGGTGCCCAAAATAAGACTGAAACCAAGCGGAACTGGTCACCGTCAAAATCGAGGCAAACGACGACAATTTCTTCGAATTTGAGGAAGCCGAGGAAATGCCGACCACCGCGTCAACGCCAAATTTTACCACGCCTGTCATCACGTCCGCCAAATCCATTAGGTGCTTAAGATTTTCGTGACATTAAAAAAACTATTATGTTGGCCGTGATCATTTACATATGAACTCTTTTCATGAATTTTTATCATTCCAGCCGAGAAGACTACATTTTGTATGAAGGGGACCGACCGTATGGATGTTCTCGATGTGTGTGCCGTTTCGTCAACAAATCCTGGGTGGTTCGCCATATGCACACATGTAAAGGAGTCAAATTATGATAATGATACCTTCAAATATGTAGATGTCGCATAATAATTTTTTTTAATTTTTAATTTTTATTTTGAAATAAAATCAGTATCATAAAAGTATTTATGTATGTAGTTTAAAAATTTGTGGGATTCACTGGTACAAGAATATACACCTAATACATACCAATTTATGAAATCATGTCCGTTTAAATACTTAAAACCAAGTCCACAAACAGGCATGTGCATGATTCAATACCATAAGCAGTACCGGCGTCTCTGGTGGTCACGTCGTGACGAGGTGATCCAGAACATGAGCAACAAGAGGAAAGTTATGGTTGGGTTATGTTGACTGAGAGTTGCATGTAATTAAAAACAGATTTTTGTTAAAAAATATAATTCTGCCAGTGATTGTATATAATCATGATTGCCGTTCGTGAAAAATAAATTAGCTTTAGTATTAGTAAGTATGTAGCTTGCTTAGAATATTTTAATTATATTTATTTCTATAATTTTTTCCAATGTTTCAAAAATTTATTATGTTTATTTTAGTGTTATCGTCATAATTTCAATTTCACTCCTTTACACGTATTCATGTGGTGAATAACCCAGTCTTTAGTTTTGAAACGACGCACACATCTACAACACCCATACGGTCGGTCCCCTTCATACAATATGTAGTATTCTTGATCTTTGCTAGAAAGATAGAAAACCCGTTCATAAATAATCACAGTCAACCAACGTACAAATTTTTTATAATGTCACAGAGGTCAATGAAAAATACCTCATGGATTTGGCAGAAGTGATGACAGGGGTGGTAAAGTTTGGCGTAGCTGCGGTAGTCTGCATTTCCTCGGATTCCTCAAATACGAAGCAATCGTCATCGTCCCCCTCGATTTTGAGCCGGGATGGCGGAATGGTTTCATCCGTTAAGTCCATCTCGGCAGGGTGGTTATCATCATCAGAATATGAAAACGGGGTAGATATGATGGACGACGCTGGTGGCTTTGAAGATATTGATTCGGGGTGAGGGTGCGATTCTGTGACGGAGTTTACTTCGGCTGACTCGGCAGGTGCTGATGTCGAAGTAGAAGATACAGTAGCAGAGCCTGAAATAATGGATAAAATAAATTAGGTAATTTTGATGATTTAAACGTTCCTGAATTTAATTTATTACGTGGAGTGGAAGCTGCAATCATCCAGTCGAACACGGCTTGGTCACAGACCTCGAGTTTTTCACGTTTTGATGAAATATTTTCATCAATTTGCTTCCTTTTGCGAACGTTTTCCTTCTCTGCATTCGCTCGATTTACAAATTTTTCGGCTGAAATTTTCAACAAAACGTGGATGTCGACTCATAAATTAGTGTTTATTTTTCTGGAATTTTACCGTGTTGATTCAGACTTTTTTCTATCATTTTTTTGATCCTTCCCTTCAGCACGATTATTTCTCGATCCATTGCCCACACCGCGGAAACCGTGGTGAGACAAGAGAGGCAGGAATTTTCTTCCCCCTCGGACGGGTAGACAAGGGAGGAGGACGAATTGGGGATGAGGCCTTTCTTAAAGGCCTCCCGGTTCAAGAGATCCTTATAAAGGTGAATTTGATCCTTGACTTGATCACTGTGTGAGACGGAGACTGCGGACAATGTCGAAATTGAGCAGAGGAAACATCCTCCCGGAATATCTATAAAATTACAAGAGCTGGATATAATAATAAACTATGATAACAGATATATTGATGTAGCAGTAGAAAGATCCTTTAAACACGATGAATTAAGATTAGAATTTGCCTAAAAGCCGGATTTCTTAAGAAACGTCCACAAAAGATCCGCTTTCAAAATACATTAACAAAGCACTATTTAGAGGAACAAAAAGGCAAAACAACAAGTGACAACAACAAAAGATTGGCAAAACCATTGAAAGTTTCAAAGGTTTTGCAAGTTTTATTTCAAATTGAAACCCTTGAAAATTAGATGTCGATACTATAAACCTGACCTAACTAAATTCAAAAATGTTGACATCTTTATTTGCTTACCCTCCTGCGTAACTTCGTCAGATCGTCGGGGGAATAATGACGGAACCGGAGAACCAACCATTTTTCCATGGCTTCCCCGGTAGTGCTTGACGGTACCAGGAAAATGTCGAGAACAGATTCGATTATTTTCACGAGGCTCCCAACTAGAATCTTGTCTTAACGTGCGGACAACTTTGACCCATTTTTCTCGCAAGGGATCATTCTTGTTGGGAAATCTAAAGGAAGTATGTTTGATTAACAAAATTGTTAAAATACTAATTTTAGGTTTACTACCTGTGAAATGATAAATCTCCACAATCTCGTTGGTCCTGCTGCGTACAAGCCGGTATGGCGCAATAAAACTTCATCCTCAGTATTCCTATGATATTAATTGATTTAGTTAAATTTGTTGTTAAATTGTTGCTGAATATTTAATAAATAATTTATTTGTAGAGTAAATTCACAATAATATGCTACAAGTTAGTTAGGAAATCTTTTACTCTATAGTTTTTACCTTTATCTCCGTAATTATTTACTTGCCTTAGTCAATCACTTGGTCAAAATCTGCGTAACAGTATAATTTATAATTTGTTAAATTACAAATAAATAATTAAATTTTTGTTTTGTTATTATTATTTTGCGGAAAAGCACATGTTCAGTGAAGTATGATGGTATGTTGCCGCTCTATCATTCTGCCCCGTCGTATTTTCCAAGGGACAGTGCACAAATTATGTCATCGATTTGACATTTATCAATCAATTCTACCCTTGACATGTAAATATAACATGGACCAAGTGGAGGTCAAGGGTCAAAATTCTTCAAGTACGTACAGGTTCTTTACGCACGGTAACATTGAAATCACTAGTGTTGGAAAATTCAGGTCAACAAAGGATATGCTTTAACTCTATGTAAAATAATTTTACTAAATAAAATGTTAATCTATGTGGATTTTAATAAAATCGCTAATTACGAGTTCGCATCGTTTAGCAAAAAAGTTCACAAGTTCTCAAAAAGTTAGTATGTATAAACCTCAGTGGATTTCAATTATTAAGATCACCAATTACGAGTTTGCAAACAAAAAATTAGCGTGAGATTTCAATCAACAAAGGATATCATGCATATCCTTTGTTGGCGTGAATTTCCCAACTGCAACATTTACATATTTAGATATATAGTTGTACCTCGGAATTTTTAAACTAAATATTTTTATGAAAATGGTATTAGAATTGCAATACCAAAAAAAAATTCCAATGGTTTCAAAAATTTATTATCTTCATTTTAAATTGTTATTATTGTTACTGTATTGATCTCATTCCTTTACACTTATTCATATGGCGAACAACCCAGGATTTGTTGACGAAACGGCACACACATCGAGAACATCCATACGGTCGGTCGCCTTCATACAGTACGTAGTCTTCTTGATCTTGGCTAGAATGATAACAAATCATGAAATTGCGTATGTATGCATAAATGATCATATTATGGCAAGCATAAAAATTAAAAACAGAGTTTTCTTGTAATGTCATAAATACCTAACGGAATTGGAAGACGTAATAACACGAGGGGTAAAATTTGGTGTTGACGCGCCGGTCGGCATTTCTTCGGCTTCCTCAAATTCGAAGAAATTTTCGTTGTCTGTCTCGATTTTGACCAGGTTTGTGGTTACTGCTTCCTTCTCGACACCGTTGTTATCCTCATTAGAATATGGAGACGGGGTCGATATTATGGGCGACTCTTCGTCCACAACTGGTTTATGCATAGGTGAATTTAAAGGCGATGTCGATTCGAGAGGGTGAAATTCTGTGACACAGTTTACTTCGGTTGGCTCGATGGGACCTGATGTCGAGGAAGAAGATGCGGCCGAGAGATCTGAAGAAATTGATAACTTAACAATCTTTGACCATTTAAATGTTCCTGGTTCGTATTTATTGAGTACATACTTTGAGTGGGAGGAGTGGAAGCCGCAATCATCCAGTCGAACACGGCTTGGTCACATACCTCAAGTTTTTCACGTTTTGGTGAAATGTTTCCATCAATTTGCTTCTTCCTTTTGCTTTCAAAGCTTCCTTTTGATTCTTTTGCTTGAAGTTTGTCATTCTCTGCTTTCGCTCGATTTATAAATTTTTCGGCTGAAATTTTTAAGAAGACGTTGATTTCGATTCATAAATTAGTGTTTCTAAATTTCTGGAATTTTACCGTGTTGATTCAGACTTTTTTCTACCATTTTTTTAATTCGTTCTTTCAACAGAATTATTTCTCGGTCTAATGCCCACACCGCGGCGACCGTGGTGAGACAAGAGAGGCAGGAATTTTCGTCCCCCTCGGACGGGTAGACAAGGGAAAAGGACGCATCGGCGGTGAGACCCTGATTGAAGGCCGCCTGGTTCAAGAGATCCTTAAAAAGGCGGATTTGTTCCTTGACGTGATCACTGTGGGGGCCGGTGGACAGGGTCAAAATTGAGCAGAGGAAACAACCCCTCGTATCTGATCGGATGGGTTGATTCTGGTTTGCTGGTAGTTGCGGTGTGGTCGGGGGTTGGACTGTGGCTGCAATAAAAATACATGTGCTGAATATAATAAGAAACCGGAGGTAATGAAATAGCGGTACCGAGAAAGATTTTGTGCCGTGTACACTATTAACCTGCTTATCATAAACTGAGACTAAGATTGATCTGAAAACCAAGATTCCTTAAAAAGCCGTCCACAAAAGATTCCGCTCTTAAATCCTGGAAAAAAAGCTGAGAACAGAAATTCGAAACGGCAAAGCAACACGTCGACATCTAAAAATAATTAATTTGCTAGTGAAGAGAGCTTCGAAAATTATACGTTGATACCGGAAACCTAACTAATTGACGCGTTTGATCGACGTACATATAGCTCTCACATTTTTTTGTACCTAACAATTTGATACAGGTTTTACTCGCTTACGTTGAACATGGTCCACGTCCAGCTCCTTTGTCACTTGGTCACATTCTTGGAGGAATAAGGATGGCACATGCCAACCCAACAGTTTTCCTCGTTTTCCAATCTTTTGTACTTGGGTGCTGGTAAAATGTCGAGAACAGACGACAGCTTGTTCATGAGGTTCCCAACTAGCATCTTGTCTTAACTTGCGGACAAGTTGGATCCATTTTTCTTGCATTTCTCGTTGGTTGCTTGGGGGAAATCTAAACGAAATCGCTTCATTACATAACGATTAAATCCCAATTTTAGGTTTACTACATATTTACCTATGGAATGATATTTTTCGAGTGTTTAGTCTGTCCTGTATCGTACAAGCCGGTATGACACACCCTTTGCAGGCTACCATCTTCAGTTATACGCCTGAAATATTAATTAAGTTAAAAATCAAATTTTTATGCTAAAGCTAAATACTAATATTTAACAGATAATTTATTTAATTTATTAAGTAAGTAAAATCATTATTTCGCGAAATTTTGGCATTAGTACGTTGCTAATTTCGAAGTTCAAATTTAATTTACTTACTGACTTCGCCAAAGTGTTTGTAACCGAATAATTTAATGAATTATGGTAAAATTACGATTTTTTAAAGTTTTGTTATTATTTTGCGGAAAGCAGATGTTCAGTTGCCGCTCGCTCACTTTTCCCTGCCGTATTTTCCATCTGGGGCAGTGCATGAAACACGTAATCGTTTTGATAAGGCAGGACAAGTGCTTATCTAGCTTATCCATTGCATAGTAACATTATCAGCGACCATGTAGAGGGCAAGGGTCAATACTATTTGAAAAGGGACGCGTTCTTTACGCACGGTCCGGTTCTATGTAAAATCACAGCAGTTGGGAAATTCACGTCAACAAAGAATGATTTTACTAAAATGTGAATCACAGTGGATTTTAATAAAATTGTTAATTACACTAATTGTAATACATTTACGAATAATCATAATTCATTAGTTCGCATCGTTTGCAATGTTCGCAGAACAAAAAGTTCGCAAAAAATTGGGGTGAAAAGTCATTTTCTATCTTGCTCATCCAAATGCTGTGCGAACTACTTAATGAATACCGCCGTGGTTTCTACTTGGCGAAAAGTATTTATGTCACAGAAAATATGTAAATCCGCAATAATATTGCGAAATTTTATCAGAAAAAAGTGCAATTTTTGTACACAGTACTCGTATATATTTTGCGAGAAGAAGAATTCTTTGTTTTTATTTCACATATATGTGGAACATTACAAAAATAAAAAAACAGTTCAGGTTTTTTTCAGAATGGAAAACAATGAGAGGGAAAGAAGTGAAAATAGATAAGCTCAAAAAACAAAGGGTTCAAGATGAGAGGGGAAGGATGAATAGTTGATAAGTGAGAATAAATAGGTTTCGTTCAGCTTAACCGTTTCGGGCCAAAGCTTGGGCGTGTGCCTGGAAAACGAAAAAGTATGAAGATTAATTATAGCAAGTATTAATGCATAGCATATTTGTTCACGTATAACTTTGTAACTGTATAAACAAAATCATATTACAAAATTTGGTGAGAAAATTCAGAATTTGAAAAATCGTGAAATTTGTACACGACTTAATTTGTTTAAAAAATTGTGTACTTTGCGAATTTAAACAGTTGCATGCTAAATATCACGCTTAAGTTTGTAATGGAATAAACTAAATTTTACAAAATATTTAGTAAAATTTAGGACACTTTTCCAAATCTTGTGAAATTTTAGGTACAAAAATGTGTTGCATTTTGTTCCCAATTTTTGTAAAAATTTTAAAACTTTACACAGTTACAAAATTCCTCATAAATTGACGTGCTGAAAACTTACGGCGAAATGATGCGCCTTGGCAGCAACAACTTCTGGAGTTTCAGCAACCCCGGTGATGGTACCGAAGGGGGTTGGGATCCCGGCGATGTTGTGCGCTGGGGTCACGAGGGGAGCGGCGGCGTACCCGTAGCTGGCGGCAATTGCAACTGGAGCAGCGGCAACGATGTGACCATGACCTCGAGCGGCGGCGTGGGCCTGGAGAAAAATTTGCAAAAATTATACATTATATTGCGAAAATGACAACATTTGGTCAAATTTCTGGATAAAAATCCGGGTATTGCACTTACAGCGAAATGTTGAGCCTTAGCAGCGACGACTTCGGGGGTATCAGCGACACCTATGGGTTAAGTAGAATGTTAGAATTGTATGGGGCAAATTTTGTAAACTTCATGCTAATTATTGCATGTGCGTTATGCAAATTTTTTGAAATTCATGCAAATTACCGGTGATGGTTCCGTGAGCGGTTGGGATACCGGCCAATGGAACGGCGGCGCGGGCCAAGACTGGGGCGGCATAACCGAATCCAGCAGCGACTGGGGCAGCGGCGATGACGTGACCGTGACCTCGAGCAGCGGCGTGGGCCTATAGTAAAAAAATATTTTTTCATAATTTTGATAATTCTAAAAATGCAGACACCGAAATCCACAGTAAAGACTTTTTTACACTTAGCAAAAAAAAACATTGAAATCGCAAAAAATTGCTATGATTTTAATCTGATTGCCATGCCATGTTTTCTTCATGAAATTTTTTGGCTTACAGCGAAATGTTGAGCCTTAGCGGCAACGACTTCGGGGGTATCAGCAACTCCGGTGATAACTAAACAAAGCAAAATAAAGTAAAATTTAAATTTCCGTAAAATAAAAATCCATAATTTGCGTAATCATGAATAATCCCCCGAATTTGCGTAATTACAATAATCTCACCTCCATGAGCAGTTGGGATTCCAGCAATGTGTCCGTGGTGAGCGTGGGCCAAGATGGGGGCTGGTCCGGCAGCGTATCCGAGAACTGAGGCGGCAATAACACCTCGAGCGGCGGCGTGAGCCTGGCAAAAAAATATGCAAATTTAAAATTTTGCACATTTTCAAAAATTTCACAAATTTGCAAATCCTCTTACAGCGTAGTGTTGAGCCTTAGCTGCGGCAACTTCCGGGGTATCAGCGACACCTTGAATGATTCCGTGGGCGGTTGGAATGCCCGGGATTCCTCCGGCGCACACAACGGCGAAAAGGGAAGCGAAAACGATCTAAGACAAAAATGAGGAAATTTTACAATTTTTCCCCAAATTTTTTCCAAATTTCTTAATTTCTTCACTCACGGCGGAATGCATTTTAGAAATTTTTTGGCAGACTCTTCACTCGAAGCTCGGCTCAAAAGGAGGATAGGATGCGAATTGATGGCGGAAGAAGGCCTGATGGAACCCATTTATACGTCGAGCCCGACCTTGATCTTGATTTCTGGAGTGAATATCATCTTAAGGAAGATTTTGTGATATAATCACTCACATCACAAAATGCTGGCTTACTTACATGCGTCGCATGCACATGAATTATTACTTGAGATGTGGTCAGGGCAAGGAAGATGTGATATGATCACGTATGAAAAAGAGGGTGACGCCAATAAATAAGGTGGAAGTGTGCCTGCCTGCTTGATGCAGGGGGATGTGCAAAAATAAGGGCGATTTTTTGGAGACAATCCATACCTGTTTACATACCTGTCAAAATACAAATTCGAAAAACATTTGGAAGAAATAAAATTGATTTCCATGTTGAAATAAGCGTAAAATGTTTGAAAAATTTATATTCGTTGAAAACATTTTTTTTGTGTTTTCGTTTTGTTTGTTCCATTTGAGGATTTTAAGATTTTAATTTTAGATTTGAAGACGTTTTTACAAGATTTTACGGATAATTGCGAACTTTCGACCCCTTACATATAGCAGATCATGATCAGAAATTCGAAAATACGTTTTATGTAAATTTAAGGGTTACAAATTAATTCAGAACATGTAAAACATGATTCGATAATTCTTAATCTTTAACATCACCAAAATATAGCTTTCACTATCAAAAATTTCTCGCATAAACGGATTAACGTAATTTTTGCAGGACTCACTCCTCACGAGGGACAACCCAGCCCTGCAAAAAATGAGGTGTAATTGAGATAAATTTGTACATTAGCTGGTTAAACAATTTCTATGCAGAAGAAACAAGGCGACTCTTTGTGTTGGATTTATTGATTGTGCATTGGTTTAGTTGACTTGACGGTAAGAAGAAAGGGTGAGCGAGTGAGTTAGCGAATGAATGAATGAATGAATTGGCAAAATTGGGCAAAAAACATGTTATGATGATTTGATTGGGAGTGGATGCAGGGCTTGAGCGACGGCAGGTATTGATAATAATCATCGTGTTGAGAAGATAATGAAATTTTTGTGAGGTGGTGGTGGTGGTGCATACGCCCTTCGTGCATGTATTTATTTTTAATGTATTTTCCTTGCTGGGTTGGGTAATTAAATTTTGCTGGAGGTATAAATAAGATACAATTGAGTTTATTAGCAATGACTGCAATTAACTGTAATTTGTACCTAAAAAAGGGTTATTTTTGGATCATGGAATATTCTTGGGTGGGTATGCATTTCCTCGAGTGTTTTCAAAATGTACTTTAAATTATGAAAAATATGAGAAAATCACTGTGACTATTAATTGGTGACATATTCATGATACTAGTAACTTAGGGCGAAACTAAGTAATCACCAATGACCACTTTAAATACCCATTAATCGGATTAATAAGCAAGTGAGATTTGCATGGCAATATTCTGTTTAGAAAAATGCTATTTTTTATAAAATTTGCACATGCATATTTTGAATTAATTTTTAACCCTTCAATTTAAAATATGTTTTTACGAACGATGAGCTTTTCAAAAATTGCAAACTAAGCTAAATATGGGAATAACTATGTAATACAATAATACAGTAATTGGTTTATGCAAATATTTTTCGAGTCTTTACTAAAGGGAGGGCAGCCTGGTGGATACGAATTTGGCCTTGAATAACCCCGGAACGGTTTGTCGTAGCGGGTCAAAATTTTGAACAGAAGAGCATGTTATCCTCAGATAGTTGTGTGTAAAAATTCAACTCTCTACTTTCAAAAATGCCTCCCCCACAGCCCCCAGAAGTTGAGACACTCGTTTCAACTTTTTCCAAACTCCGTCTAAAAAATTCGGTCCCCACAGAAAGATTTTCTTTTCATCTATCCGAACTCAAACAAGTCGATTTGACTTATATCAGGGGATTGTATAGGTATTTCACTATTCCAAATGATTTTTATCCCCAATCTAGGTTCCTAGGTCATTTGCATAATCTTGGGTCAACTTTGCCGTCTGGGAGGACGCTCCGTCATGATGAAAAATCACCTTAATTATTATTTTACCGTGCAAATTAGGAAAATTGTATTCTAAAAGTGGTTTCAGTACAAGGTCCACATAATACTTCGAAGATTCCTTCACTTTTTGGGGGACTTTGATAAGTGGGAGGACACCACGACAGGACATTGCACCCACGACCATCAACTGTTTAAAAAAGTTCTCCTCACTGAAAAGCACCAAATTTCTTGAATTTTTTTTCGGCATTTGTCGTGTAGTAAGCTCTTCGAACCCAATTAGTAACTTGTAGGGAAAATAGTTCTTCGTCAATTGTCACCAATAGCCCACTTCTATTCCTCAACAGAATATTCAAATAAAATTTTTTGCAAACACGGGCGAGATTTTTTCTGGAACTATTTGAAATGACTGTCTCAGCTTGTGGGGGCTGTGGGGCAGGCATTTTTCAAAGTAGAAGGCTGAAATTTTGCACACAACTATCTGAGGATAACATGCTCGTCTGTTCAAAATTTTGACCCGCTACGACAAACCGTTCCGGGGTTATTCAAGGTCAAATTCGTATCCACCAGGCCGCCCTCCCTTTGGTGTTTCTAACGGAGACAGGTTTTGAGTTTAATTAAAATCGTGCAAAGACAAAAGTGAGCTGGTTGCATATGTACATGTTTTAACCGGCAGTTAAAGTTAATTATGTAAGTAGTAGTTTAATTAAGAAGTTGATTAGTTAAGTACTTTGGGTAATAAAAAAATAACCTGACACAATAAACTCGTTAGACGCTTAATTAGATAAGGAAGAAGTGCACATGTTTCCATGTGATTTTACCAACCTTGCTCTCTAAATACAAAAATAGTTAGAAGGCTTTATCGTGACTTTGATAAGCTTCCAGGGAAACAGACCTTGCATAAAAGATGCCATTGACTAGAGTCCTATTGAGATGAAGGAATCTTATGTGCTTTAAGTCTTTGAAACTCGACCACATACTTAATGCCTAATCCCTTTTGAAAGCTTGGGCATAAGCTTAACGACTGGATAAAATAGAATATTGTTTTAGTTATGTAACGGAGCAGATGTGCACATAATTAGTTTATCTCAAACTGCAATCGCTTTAATTAAATGTCAAAGTCTAGCCCAAGAAATACAGGGTTCCCAGCAAGAAATGGAATCAGTATCATAATATTCACTTTTTATCAAAGTTCGTTTTTTTAGCAAAAACACATCCATTTACTGAAATCTGAGCCAATCTAGTTCACATTGTTTCATGAAAATACTGCGGCAAGGACATTTCCATGAATAGATTCTGTATTACATACATACACATGTTCAGAAAAAATTCATACAATTCAACCATGAATAAAACGATACACTTTTTTTTTACTTAATAATAATTTTACACTTGTTTTTTTATACACAAACGTATTGTATCAGCCATAAACAAATTAGGAGAAGGAATGGGTCCCAAAATAAATTACACAGCTCTTGGTATTATGAAAACATTGGTAAAATACATTTAAACAATTTTACTAATTACTACTGGATCATAAATACCATACATGAGTATTTAAACGTGGGTAAGTGATTAAATCAAAGATAATTGGGGTATTCATTACGAGTTCGTATTGTTAGCAAAGTTAGAAAAAAACTACAAACTTTGTAAGCTTGCAAATAATTTGGGCTTCGAAATTTGGAACCTCCAAGGCTAGTTTTTAGTAGGTTTCAATTTATTTTTTCGAAATTATGTTGCTACATACTTATGTGGGCAATGGAAGAATGAATGTCTCAAATAATTACTTATCAATGTATTTAGAAAAATTGCAATTTTAATGCAATTTTATGCACCCTGTTTCCTCACGCCCTTCGCCCTCACCTTCCTTCCTTCCGTGCACATGGGAAACCAACACGCGTTCTGATTAATTAGCCAAACTCGTTAATCAAGTTCATAACCTTTTTTAATGTCGAGGCATCAACACCTTCCTCAATAATCATTTTAATAAGTATTTAATTGGCAATAATGTCAACCCCTTTAATTTTGTGGTGTTTATTAATTATAACGATAAAGTTGACAGAGGGACAACACCCGGTACCTGGAAGGTGTCCAAAAGTTGAGCCGTTTAAATATATCGACGTCCAACGGGTAAGCTTAATTAGGAGATAGTTAACTAATTAATTAACGGAGTATATACGCATTTGCAACTGAGGGTATATAATATGCCAAAGTTTGCAAAACTGATGGTCTAATATGCCAAAGTTTGCAAAAACTGCGCCTGGATTTTGGTTTGCAAAGTTTCCTAACATCCAATTTGATGGATTTCGCAAGAATTCTTGGCAAAAAATATGATCTTATGATTCTAGTCCACATAATAAATGTTTACTTTACGAGCTGATTTGGCAGCTATTTACATATGGACTAAAGTATTTGCCAAACGTTGATATCAATTTGTGTTAATTGGTGATTTTTTTTTGCAAGTATGGCGGGTTATGGTACGAAGTGGAGAGATTTTTCTTCCTCCCTGAAGTAACCGGAAGTTGCATCACTGTGAACTATGACCCTCAGAAGGATGGCAGTTTGGCAACGACGATTCGATTAAAGGAATCTGTGTGAGTTGTGAAAAATTTTGGCGAGTAATTCTGTATTCATAAAATAAAATGGAAATTTTAATATAAAACTAAATAGATAATTCATCCTTATGTTTGTAATACTTTTTCATATTTATCCAGGACCGGCAAGAAATTGGCGTTTCCAGGAAACACGATTTTCCTTGATTCTACCCTAAACAAGAATTTTACCATTGGGAACATGCAGTTGACTCTGGAGCTTTTTAACCCAATTCTACCACAACCAAAATGTAAGTAAGGTTAGAATTTTTAATTTTATGCATTTTTTAATTGAGTGGGTATATAAATATAAATAAATATTCTACTTATAAACTGTGAAATAGTTCAGTACACGTACAGCTACAAATTAGCGGATACGGATTATGACAATTACATCATCAAATTCGGATGCGTTTCACTCCTTGCAGTTCATTTTGGTAGGTGGCGTTAATTATTAGAAAATTTTAACAAGGCAGAATTTTTTTTTTGTTATTTATTTGCATATTATTTGACTTACTGAATTTCAGAGAGCGTTTGGATCTTGTCTCGATACCCGAGTTACCCGGCCCGGGTAGAACGGCTCGTGCACAATAGTCTCGATCGACTAGGGATCGACAGGTCACTCTTGGTCAGGAGTAAATGTGACGAAATTCAGGAAACGCCCAAAGTCTTCTTTCCCACTGAATACCACCACCACCACTAATATTTCATTTTAAAATAAATATCCGTTAATAATTTATCCCAGCTATAATTTAATCTTTGTAATAAACTGTGTTATAATATTGTAAAAGTACAAAAAACAAGATTTAAATATATCCCATATGTACATGTACATGGATTTTAATAATAAAATATTATGTACATCAACACGATCTATGGAAAACTTTAAAATTTAATTATATCCATTAACCGTGGAAAATGGAAATATATTTAATTTCCCAATTTTGAAATGTACTTAGTTCGAGGCATGGCTTTTTCGAAGCTATCACTTCCGAATTATTTTTTAAAAAAACTCTCTGCCAAAACCACCACGCAGAATTTTTCAGATGCATCGTAAAGAAAAGATACAGGTTTTCATGTGGCTTATTCTGACTGAATATGTACATACATATGTACATACGCATCGACTCTTTAATATGTATCAATTGTTATCGGAACAATAAGATCTTGACAATTCCTAAATAAATTGTTTACCTTCCGTGTGAGAAGAATACTTAAATAAATTACAAGGTGTTAACTGACCTAGTAATGGAGTAAGACCCGGTTGAAGAAGGTACTTTAAAAGCGAACTTATTAACTTACTATGGGTCGAACACGCACTTTTCAGGTTTCTAAGTTGTGTAAGTTAGTAATATTTTTAAATGTATAGATAAGTCAATCCAGTAAATTTTTAACAAGTCAAATGGCGTACTCTCTTCACGTTACATACATAGCTCGAAAATCTTGCCAATTAAGCATAGTTTTGCGAAATTTGCTGAATTTCCCAAAACTTTCACTTTCAAAATCATACAATTTTATGTACCTAGCAAATTTGTAGGTAGATATTTTTAAATTTCGTTAACTAATTCTCTATATTCAATGCTTTAGAAATTGCAAACAAAACCACAGAAATAAAAATAGGACAAGAGAAGTACATATTTGAACAGATTTACGAAAATTGCGAAATCATATTTTGTGAATCCCTTCTACATATGTAGATATAATTTTGGGCACTTGCTAAGTTAGTTGCGATGTTAAATAAGATGTTATCGAGAGTAAATACGTTCATAATATGCATAATTATGGTGTGTTTTTACCACAATTATTTCAGGTTTTATCGTCTCCCTTGTATTTATCTCCATCGTAGAAAGTGTCCCACTTGAGCGGGAAGCGCGTGAAACGATCCTTCCCGCCGACGCGAGAACGTACGATATCGTCGAAAAGGACGGCTCAGCAACTGGGTCGAAAGGCGTGGATAACTTTAACGTCGTAAAGGATAATATCTTCGGGGACAATTCAAATAAATCTGCGGGACAAATATTTGCAGAAAATTTGCATGCTGGGGCGTACACTCCGTTCGGCTTGTTAGAAGATGCTGGAGACAATTTTGCGGATAAGGCGTTCCAAGGAAAGACATCGGAGGTGAGAAAAATTTTTTTGGGTTAAGTGAAGCTTACCATTGACAAGGGAGACAATTATTTTGATATATATGTTTGTACAATTTACCAAATTTTTCGCAAAATGTCGTACAAGAAGAAATGATCATGCAAATTTTTTTACATAAGCGTTTTACCCCTTAGTTTATTTTATTTATTGGTCAATTTGCTTTTCAAAATGTACACACACACGTCTGAAAACCGTATCATTACTTTAGGAAATATTGGTCAAATTTATGAACATTATTTTATGCATTGAATGAGATAGAACAAAATGAGGTAATTCACGAAGTCCTTGGTAACTGCAAAATTCATACATTTAGACAAACTTTAACCTACCGAATAAAATGACGCACTTGATCTTACAAACTTACAAAAATTTGTAATTGCATAGCTAATTTTCATAGGAAATATATATTGAAAGTATGGAATTTTACGATTTTTCTAAAGTTATCAATGAGTGCGTGCATTGCCTCCATTATTTTAAAGTTCCCGTGATTAATAAGGTTAAGGGGCCAAAATTACAAAATTTTAGTCATCAAATAAATAAATATAATTTAGAAGCTGATTATTTTAATTTTAGGACAAAACATACATTGAGGACCTTCACGCCAAAGTGTATCAAACCCTGGGTTCCGTCGGGGGTGGACTTATCGACGCCGTGGGTGATAACCTAGTTCCCAAAGCGTTGGATGGCGCCTACAAAGGGCTCCTCGGCTCGGTGGCGGGTGGACTTGGGATGGGCTTCTCCACGTTGGTGTCACCCATCGCGGGAAGTATTGAAGCGGCGAAGGTCGGCTTGAATGGGATCGGTCAAGGGAGTCTGCTCGGGATGGAGGGCAAGGTCAGAGAAGTGGATGACAAAGAGGCCGTCAGCCACGACAGGGGTTCATGGTTTGGAGGGTTGTTGGGGTAAACGCTAAGGGGGACCAACTCAGGGTATAAACCAATTTTGACGTAAAATGTAAATTAATTGACTATTTATATTGATTAAATTATGTGTGCGAAACTAAATTGTATTGTTTTTGCGACTGCATAACATATGAGATTTGATGTCACATGAATACACCGCTACATATATATGTACATACACGTCGAGTATGTACCAACCCATTTTAGAAAAGAAGTACGAATTTCGTCACATCCCAGCCAACAATTCTTTGTGTTTTCGGGATCAATTCGGCCACAATTTTCGACCTATTCGGGATCGATTTCTTGACGATTCGTACAGAAATCCAGAAGAAATCGGTGGGAAATGTCCGCAGAATCGTACAGATTTCTTGACGATTCGTCACGAATTTTTACGCCGAATTCTGTACGAATTCTTTGCGATTCTTGCAAGACTTCGTGTTGATTTCTGATAGAAATCCTAATGAATTTTGTACGAATTCTGCCCGAAATCACTACGATTTACATTGAAATGAAAAATTGGATAAATGATTTGTTCTTTTGAATTATTTTATTGCTTAGATGGCCATAACAAAAAATAAGCTAATTATTTGTAAATTAATTCTGTGATGATGGAGAGGGCAAGTTGTTGCTGACTGGCTGTTTCCTGTGAAATTAAAACAGATTTTAAATATTTTGCACAATATATTGATAATAGCAAAAAACTTAAAAATTTGAAGCAAAATTTTATTTCAAAATTTAATGGTAAAGAACATAAAACTCACTTGTTGCGTTTATACATACGATCACGGGCCTTGGTCAACTCCTTCGAGATTCCGTCCTCAAATTTTGCAAGGTCAGGTAGCAAAGGGCTCATCAGATTTGCTGCACCCCCTAATAATTAAAAAAATGTAATAAGTTCAAGGGAAGAAATCTATCCTAATTATATACACATAATATGATTCTCCTTACTTATTCCTACTTACTGTAAAGGACATCTTTGATATCCGCCGGCGTAGAAAGCGAAAGCTTTTTCTTCATTCCTTTTAGACTATATTTGGGCAATAAATCGTCAGTCAGCAATTTTTTCGGCATCTTGCAAATTACATCGACTTCCTCTTATCCTCTCACTCCTCCATAGACAATGGTGATCTGAATACCACAAAGAATAATTAACCAAAAACAAAGCGAAATAGAGATAAACCTTGGTACAACATTTTACAAAATCAAATACTTACCAGGTCCGAATTTGGAGAGAGGATTTATTATTCAGATAAATTTCCAAATTATAGTTGTTTTGTAAAATCCTGTTTCTGTCTGATGTAGAGCAGTAATAAATTGCGTAGCCTCATGGCCACCTCGAAGAACAGACTGCGGCCTTAGCTAGAATTCCTTAAAAATTCGTACACTCTAATTGAGATTACCGAAATCTCCAAGAAATCGTGACGAATTCGGGCTATCTTTCTGTCTAAATTCGATCAAGATTTTCCTTTAAGAATTCGGAGTGAAACCACAAAGAAATCGGAACGAATTTCGGTCACCTTTCGGCCTACATTCGTTGAAGATTTTTCTGTGCGAATTCGCAGTGAAATCGTATCGAATTCTTCAAGAATTCTGGCAGCTTTCGAGCTCGTGGTGATTTCGACCTGTTCGTACAGACCTCTTTCAAAGAATTTTGGCCGAATTGTTGGCTGGGATGACACAAATATACGGTTTGTACTTATTTATAATTTACTGACATAATATGCATTACAGTATAAATTGATGTGCAAATACATACATACGTACGTATATATCTATATAGGATATCTTCATCTTCTACATATTTGTAAATGTTAGACTGGTAACTATCTTATGAAAGCACATATTTTGGAAAGGTCATAGCATTTATATCCATAAACAATAATACAAAATAGTAGTGACACTACTCTTCAGATAGAGTTGAATTAAATTTTGCACAATATTTTTAACCATAGCGCTACTAATAAATTTAAAATAATTAAGGCAAATCGTAGATAACAATTTGCAGTAAATATGTATCTATATGCATACCTTTTACCCGGTACTGGAGACAACGTTTACTTTTATATACGTTACATGAAGGGAAGTAGATGAAAAATTAATTTAGTAATTCATGAAAGACGGCTCTTGAAGTTAGGAAACTGTGTCAGATATGTACATATGTATATGCCCTTCTTAGGCTAAAAGTTTGCTACAACTTTTTGGAATATTTCTTTTTCTTCCTTGTCGCCGCTGTTGTTGATCATTTTGCAAGTCATTTTTATACATTCCGATTAAATCTTCGTGTTCCTCCTGATAAAAAATACATAATCAAAATTAATGTGAAATACATACATTCATTCATGTGATCACATACGACGGCGTACATCATCATCATCATGTACATAAATATCTATGTATGCATATATTTACAACACATGTGCATGCAGGTGTCAACTTCATTTACCTTTAGATGACGTAAAAAGTTCCCGGTTGAGGTTAACTGCCCCCTGACAACTTTTCCGCAAGCTTTGCATTTTACCGTCACACTGACACCCTTACTTTCAATAATGTCAAAGTAGCTGCCTCGGAGGATGAAAGGTTTCTGGGGAGAAAAAAATGGAAATTTATTGCCATCCACTTGGATTTTAGGATCATGAAAATTAATTATGCTGCTTTTTTCTCCTATTTTGTACTAACTTTGCTTTCATCCAGTGATTCAGGATTGGCTGAATTGAGTTCTTTCGAATTGTGGGAGCCGATTGTGTCCTCGTTTCTACCGGTTTCCGGTTCGTCTTGAGGAAATATGACGAAATCTGTGTCATTGTCGTCCTGAATTTCTTGGTAGATCTCGACCTCTTCGGTTTTGACAAGTATAGCGTTTGGCGAGCAGGATGGAGAAGAATTTTGAACAGGATTTGTTCCTTGTTGGAGTGGAAAAGATGTCCGGTCTGAATATAAATATGTATAAGATTAATTTTTAGGAAATTTTAAACCAAATTCTGAGTAAAAGTTCTATATTTATGTACTTCGTCGCCGAGATTTGGAAGATTGCGGAGTAATTGTGTCACATTGTACGTCGAGAGAAAGGGGATCTTCTTCCAAGGGAAAATCTGTCGTGGAAAATATTTTATTTTGTAATAATTATGTAATTATCACAAACTATATTTTTATGTACATAAACATGCTCTGGCAGGATTGGTGCCAGTCTTTGGCCAAAATAAATGAATAAAAATGATGAGCAATAATGGAAATAAATTTTTCCTACCAAAGTGGACAATTTCAGAAAAATGTGTCCATTTCGCCAATTTCGAAACGATGTTTTCCAAATAGGCTACCCTGGCAAGGAGCTCTTCCATCTCGAATTTGTTGCTATAGAAATTAATTATTGGTTTTATTTTATGAGATATTAAAAATAGGAAATGAACAGTTCACAATTTGTAAAATGTGAAAGATATAAAGTGTGTACAAATGTAAACACGCCAACTTTTACCTCGCTCCAGTTTTTGGTCTCACAAAGAACTTATGTAATCGTATTTACATATGTACGTATTTACAACATAAGGTTCGGTTACCGAACTTCGGTATGTGCATAGACAAATGTACATAGGTACATACATTTGAGTTACATAATTTCCTAAAATCATGAATTGTGCCGCAACAACAAAAATACTTAATACCAAGCTGTATTGAAATACTATGGATCTACAAAAGTGCGTAGTATTCATACAATCAATGGAAAAAGTATTGGCAACCCCCACGCCAGCTAAATAAAATTGGCTATAACCATGGAATGCATCATACAATTGGTATGGAAATTTGTACCCATTTAGCAAATATAATGTAGTTTTCGATTATAATCATGATTTATTAATTAAAATTAGATAAACACAGTTTTTAAATAATTTGTTGGAAAATTTGCAAAATTTACCCGCAAAAAGTATTGACAACCCTTAACTTAAGAAATCATAAATCAAAGAAACGCCAATTTTATTATGACAAACTGCTTCTAGTATTACGTAGCACCTCCCCTCGACGCAATACAAGCAAAAATACGTCGTGGAATTGATTCAACAAGTTTCGTTATAACGCTTTTCTATATGGCTGCCCACACTTCCTTTGAACTTTTGACAAGCTCGTTTTTCGAAGAGTGGTTTCCCACCAGTCCCTCTTTTCTGAATCCGGACAATCAGAATCACATCGGGAGACTGTGCAATCAACGAAAGAAGCTTAACCTTTTCGATCTCCAAAACCTTGCATCGTTAAATTGGCTACATGTTTGGGGTCACTGAATTTTCGGAATATAAAATTCCTTCATAGGTCAGATTTTTATCAAATAATTTCAAATTATCGTTTAGAATGATTATTTGGACCTCATTGGTCATGATTCCATCGATAATGACCAGCTACCTACGCCACGACCTAGTCATTTAACCCCAAACCATAATCGCTCCTCTTCTGTGTTTAGCTGTCATACGAACATATTCGTTTTTGTGAGCCTATTATGGCATCCGCCAGACTTGAACCATTCAATTGGCTCCGAATAAGTAAAATATGCTTATGTCAGACCAGCAGAACCTTCTTCATTCATTGGAAGTCTATTCAGGGTGGTGTTTAGTCCATTCCAATTTATTGAGTTGGTTCGTTTTGGGGACCCTCGCGTCAGTCGGGCTTCTGGACCCTGAAACCCCATGGCATGATTTTTGATTGATCACAATATTGCATGATATGTTGACGCCACAGTTGGTTCTCAAATTCAACATGGTTTTTGGGGTTAAAATCTTCCGATCTCGAGTGATAATTTGCTTGATTCATCAGTGGCTCGCGGGCGTAGGTGACTTTTTTCTTCCGCACCATGGAAAAGTAGAAACTGAGATTGTCATTTTATATTTCTTGGCTACCTATTCAATAGTAAATATGGAAAAGTATGTTTTCTCTTTGATTTTTCGATAGTAAAGCTTTTTTGTGAAAGATACATGATTATTTCTCGCTGCGCCAAATACAGCTCGTTTGATGTCGCCATTTTGGCTCCAGACAACACAACTGTAGACTTAAAATGTAGCTAACGTCATATTTGGTCACCTAATTAACTTACCGTAATGAAATGTGGTAGCTGATTAAGAAAATTGTTTCGCGTAATTAATTTGGCCACATGTTGCCAATACTTTTTGCGGGTAAATTTTGCAAATTTTCCAACAAATTATTTAAAAACTGTGTTTATCTAATTTGAATCAATAAAACATGACTATAATCGAAAACTACATAATATTTGCTAAAGGCCTACAAATTTTCATGCCAATTGTATAATGCATTCTAACGTTACAGCAAATTTTATTTAGCTGGCGTGGGGGTTGCCAATACTTTTTCCATTGACTGTACGTACGCTATACCGTGTAGTAATGACTCGGTATTTAAGTTTTACCTTATCGATAGTAATTTTTTACTGTATAACTTTGATATAAACGCTTAGTACGGAGAAATCAATACAAGCGTAACTCTACCAGGTTTTTAACGAGAGCATACATATGGATGTACATACATATTTACAAATGGAAATATACTTACGTATGTCCGTAATGTATGTATGTATGTATGTATGTATGTATGTATGTAATTACCTGGAAATGTTTACATACATCTAGGAGTTTATTAGTTACAATTTGTAACTTACAAAATAGGTGATACGAGGTAAAATTGTAGTTTACCATTAGTAATCAGTACCATGACAATTAGTAATCCAAAAGCGGATGATGATCTGTAATTGCGGGCAGCATTAACGATGTAATTTTTGTAGTTCTGCTTGGATATTTTTAGTTGGATTTGGTAATTCTATATGTAATAAATACAAAATTTGCACATGTATGAGCATAGGTCTACTCAAGTTCGCAGTTTTCGATGATTTTCATAACCATAAACGCATGTATGTACTGTACATGCATAAGTTCAATACTAAATTTAGTGTTTCCATAACTTACTACGTATGTATATATGTACATGCATATGTATGTGCATAATAATTGCATGCACCGAGTAAAACTAACAAGCATAAATTGTGTTTGGGTTATTAATGCAATTTTCAGTTGTGCTTATTTGCCGGTTATACCTACATATTGTGCCTTTGGTTGAACGTATAACGTATTGGTATTTGTATTATTTTTAACCTGAAATTAAAACTATGTAAATATATATGTACATATGTAATACTGATTATTCAGTTCAACTTCCAAGGATGAGTAGAAACTACATATATGTATGCAAACACGTAAGGAAGTAGCGTTGTTTCGTATAGCTTTGAGTTCGATAGAACATGACGCCATTACGTGTAATCTCATGACAAATTTGACCAGAAGATAAATAAAACTACATTGCAAGTCGAGGTTTTTGGAAAATATCTTTTCGAAAGAGAATATATAACGTCTTAATAAAAATGATTGTTACACAATTAATGTGGTCTTCGCTTGATTTATGTTCAAAATACAACGCTCGCTTCTGGCAGCACCCGTTCGAGTGGGATCCTTCCAGACAGAAATTTGTTGCGAATTCAAAATCAAAAAAGTTGATTTTTTATTTGTTATCCATGGTAACCGTCGGATCGGTTCCGGTCGCCCTTTTAGTTCTACTATCTTTCCACAGTTTTGGCCTCAGCAATCCAACCTTCCTCGAAATACTGGTAAATGTGCATATTTTATTACTAGTGATGCTAGCATTGGTCACGGAATGGTCGTTTGCAACATACGCGGACGAATTACAACTTTGCAGCAACTACTTGATCAGACTGGAAGGCGATGTTCAATCATGTAAGTTGATATGTGGTATCGCAGAACTTTATTCAATAATAGAAAGTTTTTAAAAATCATAGTATTTTTTTCAACTTCTGATTTTTTTAATTTAATTTGTTGCATAAACGATGCACCAATTAGTCAGGAATCTTTTGGTCAGTGGCGGCGGAAGTAGGGGGACATATTTATAGAGGCATTAGAATTGTGAGATTGGAACAAGGGCTTATTGCATTGCGAATAAAAAGTTTGTCTGAATTTGGACAATGTCCCCTGATCCCCACATCTGCCCCCACTACTTTTGATGGAGAGGTGTTTTTAATTTTAAGTTTAAAAAATTATTAAGTTGAATATGCTTGCCCGAGCAAGCAGTTTCGAGCTAAACGTTATTATACTATTTGGTAGATGCACAGTATGGAATTATAAATGTTGGAAAAAAATCTGGAAGGAACAAGCCTGACACACTCGTTATGAATTTTATAGTTCTTACAACTTTGTCAATTAAGTAAATTTCTCATTTTGTGTATGTGCATATTTACTTTTTCAGCTCTTCCTCGTCGAACCGGAAACTGGGACTAGTTAGGAACATTTTTTCACATTGTACTACTCGTGAACAAGACGGCTCCCTGGTTATGCTTGACATTCGTCCTTGCTGTCGACGTAAAATTGGATGCTGTATTTCTAATAATAAAGTATTGTGTGCCAAAGTACTGGAATCAATCCTTGATGCCGTCTCCGGTCACTTTGCATAATCCCTTTTCCATAACGGTTATATTGCAGAATTTTTATCCCATAAAAGTCACATGGTATAAACAACCACTTTCCATAATACATTTTCTCATAAATTGTAAAAAATAAATAATTTCTGATTAATGAGAACTAAAATCCTGTAGACAATACGAAATTGGTCAAAAATATTGCAGCATATTAACTGTACTGTAGTATTATAAATTTCAACAATATTCGTTAACCTGATACCCACCTTGCAATTTTTAAACCTCTAATTATCTGATCAGCCTTCAAAATTTCAACACAATTCCATATACTTTGATGAGACTCATTACAAATGGTGTTCATTTGAAAATGTCAAGCCTCTACAGAGTTATTGGTACAAGGAGTGGAATTTTCAAAACATGTGTAACTATTCCATAAAATTATCGGACATCGTAGTTGTCACGGAAGAACCCAGCCATTTTAGTGAATCACTTGATTGCTAAATATTTTATCCGGTGGAGTTTATGAAAAGAGAAAAGATTATAGGAGATGAACGAGTAGTATGCAAGGCAGCGTTATGCAAAATGACCTTGTATGCAAAGTGACTATTTAGGTTAAATGCGTTAGGGGATAATTTTGTATGCAAAATGCGTTATGCAAAGTGACACCAGACCCTTGATGCAGGCCTACTATTTGATTCGGCCCCTTTTTATCATTCCAATGACACAGATATGCCGCAGCTTGTTCTTTCTTGTCCTCATGGGGACAATAGTTGGTAACTTATACCTAAGTTGTTTCGAGCACCTGGACAAGACAGCGGTTCGAGTAAGCAGCAATTTTCGCCCAAACGTTGAAAAATATTTCCGGGATTACGATATTCTTCGAATTTTCGCAACTATCGGATCCACAACGTTTGGCGTATTAATATTCTTCACATTTACGACCGTTTTCATACTCACGGTAGTCTGCAATTTCACCTCGATCCGATTAAGGG